GATTTAGAGCAAATTCTGACTCTGCATCTTCCCATCTGGATGGCACTAAGCCTTCTTTGAGTCTCATTTCTTTTTTTGTGGGGAAAAAAATGTGGTCGTGAGATGTAGTAATGTAAGTAAAGAGCTTTATGATGGTACCTGATACGTAGTAGACATGCTACAAGTGGTAGCCTATTTTTTAATTGAAGTCTAATAACATAAAATTCACTATTTAGACCATTTTAAAGTATGTCCTCATCAGCGATTCTTAGTATATTCACAGTGTTCTGCAACCGTCTTTACTATCTAATTGCAGAACATTCTCATCACACATACACACACACACACACACACACAGAAAATCCCTATTACTCATTAAGCTGTCACTTCTCATTGCCTCTTCCCCCTACTCCCCTAGCAAACATTCTTTCTGTCTCTATGGATTTGCCTGTTTGGGTGTTTCACATGCATGGAACCAGACAACATGTGGCCTTTGTGTCCAGCTCTTCTCACTTAGCATAATGTTTTCAGGATTCATCATGTTGTAGCATCGGTCAGCACTTCATTTCTTTTTATGATTGTGTGATACTCTATTGCATGGATATACCACATTTTTTAATCCATTCACCAATCAATAGACAACTGGGTTGTCGCCACCCTTTAGCCATTATGAATAGTGTTGCTGCGAACATCCATGCACAAGTTTTTGATAGCTATGTGTTTATTTCTCTTGGGTTTATACCTAGGAGTGGAATTGCTGGGTCATATGATGGTTTTATATTTAACATTTGGAGGAACTGCCACACTGTTTTCTACAGTGGCTGCCCCAGTTTACATTCCCACCAGGAATGTAGACAGGCTCCAGATTCTCCCATTGCTTGTTCTGTTTCTTCCCTTCTGTTTTCTCATTAGAACCATCTTAGTGAGTGGGTAGTTGTATCTCATTATGTGTTTGATTTGCATTTCCCTAATGACTGATGATTGTGAGCACCTTTTCATATGTTTAGTGGTATAGGCTCTTTTTTAATTATTCATCCATTAAACATTTTTGTTTGATGAGCCCCTATTGTTTGGCCGGGTAGGATTCGGGGCCCTGCCCTGAGATTACTCACACTCCAGTGGGGAAGGTTGACCTCAAACCAGATGATCTCAGCAGAGTAGGAAAATGGGCTACGGAGAGGTATGTACAAGTTGTGTTAGGATCTTTGAGGAGGAAGGACGAGGTGAGTGGAGGCTGAGTAGAGTTTGCCTGGCAAACAAGAAAGGAGGGGGGCATTCCAGTTGGATGCACGAGACTTGGGTTAGCTGGTGTGGGTGGGGCCTCAGGTAGAGAGTAGAGCACTCCAGGCAGGCAGCCGGGCAGGCCTCCACCCCCAAAAGCAAGCCTGCAGCAGGCTCTCCTGAGCTTTGCCACCCACCATATATACAGGGCTCTGTTGCTTTCAAGGCACATTTACTCAGCTGATTTGATTCCCACTTGAGATACATACTAGGTCTCCATTTCTATAGAAAGAGAAAAATGACACTCACTGACATAGCAGCTTGCCTGACTTCTTACCCCCCCAATTGGCAGGACTAGACTTGGAATCTGGGTTGCCTCACTCCTAGTTTTTTTCCACACTTGTTGGCTGGACCTCAGTTCTTCTTACCTTGACATTCAAGGCCATTTACTCTCTAAGCCCCAATTGCCTTAACTTCCTTCCTCACCTCTTTTATCTGCCTATTACTGAACCATGTTTAGTAACCATTCCAGTCTAAACATTTTCCCAGCCTTCCTTTTTTAGTGTCTAGTCTTTGTCCCTTTTGTGTGGTCCAGATTTTTACCACCTTTTGTTTTTAATGTTTTTATTTATTTTTAAGAGAGAGAGAGAGAGAGAGCACAAACAGGGGAGGGGCAGAGAGAGAGGGAGACACAGAATCCAAAGTAGGCTCCAGGCTTGAAGCTGTCAGCACAGAGCCTGATTCCTGGCTCAAACTTATGAACCGTAAGACCATGACCTGAACCAAAGTCGGACGCTTAACCGACTGAGCAACCCAGGCACCTCCAGATTCTTATCACCCTTAAATGGCTTTCCTTTTATGAGAACTGACTGCCCAGATACTATTCACTCCACTTAGGTTCTTACTAGAACTTGATACAGAAGTTGATACTTGTGATCGTCTTCACAACATCCTGGCAGAGCGAGAGTCACAGATGAGGAAGTAGAATCAGAGAAGTAAAGTAACTCACTCAGCAAGTCAGTAAGTAAGGAGCCTACCCCGAATGCCACATCTTCTCAAGAGCCTAACATGGTTGTATTGACCAAAGTGATCTCCCTTACTTCTGAGAACAGTTATTTCTCCCTTATTCAAACTCAGTATTAGAGATCCTGGATTTTTTTTCATCGGTTTTATCTTAAGTCCCCACAACTGGGTGCTCATTCTCCATGTTCTGGGGCCCAGGCTAGATCCTGTAAATGTATATTCTCAGGAAATGTTATGCTGCGACATTGGAGAAAATTCTGTGGACACTGGGCACAGGGTCTGAGTTCTCATACTATTCATGTTTTGACATTAGCTTCTATGACCCTGCACAACAGTGAGCTCTCTAGAATGAGAATGCGAACTGCTGCTCTTCCTGTATCCCTGGGGCCTGATTGTTGAGTACACGGAGGTGTGGACTTCCACCATTTTGAACCATCAGTCTCCTAATCTGCATTTTGAAAGGGTTGCATGAGATGACCTGAGGATTGTCCTCAGTGCAAATCTTACCTAGTTTTGTGCATCTGAATGATTGTTTTTCTCCAACCAACGTGATCCTGAGCTACACACTTTCAGCTCAGGGAGGCAGAGCGTGGCTTGTCACTTCTAGTTTGGTGTCTCCATCTCAAACTTTTGCCCTTGAATTTGTCAAATTGACAACTAGCTCAGAAGTTTTGCCCCAACACATCCAGAAGTCCTAACACCACCTTCTCATCCTCTGTGTCTGGTTTTTCACATGTGGAAACACTCAACTACCCCATTTCAGCATAACATCATTTAAAGCACTTTCTTTTGCTTTTATATTTTAACAGCTTTTTGACTTAGAGTCAACAATGCTCTGTAGGAGGAATAAGCTGTTGCTCTTTTAGAAAGACCACAGTCCCCGCTGTTGTTCATGCCTAACTCATCAGATATATTTTATAGGCACAAAGAGAACAAAAACAGGCCTTTCTGGTGAAAACAGAACCTGAGGATTGCTCCTCCAGTTAGTGGGAAAGGCTGTTTTCACCTCTGCTCAGGAGGAGGGAGTTAACAAAGACCTGTCTTTTTTCCCCTGGGCAGATCCCTCACACTCTATATCCTTCTTAAGCCATTCCTTTATTTTTAAAAATTATCTTTTCTCTCCTTGTGCTTAAGGAGATAAAAATGATTCTGAGCATGTCAATAATGTCAGTTTTAATGTTCTGTTTGTTGAGAGCCTAATGTGTACCAGGCACTGTGCAGTGAGTTATGTGAATTATTGCTGCCGTTCCCCCCCACCCCCCACCACTGCGCCCTGCATTATAGAACAGACACCTGAGCTCTGTGAGACTAAGGCTTCTCCCCTCCCTCTTTGCCCTGCCACACAGAGCTGAGGTTCCCAAAGAGGTCTCTCTGGTACCAGAGTCCCACCCCTCTCCAGCAGGGGCTCCCTTCCTAAGACTGTTTGGGAAGATGTGGCATTTGACTACATTCTAGAATAGTCGTGTGCTTATAAGCTTTCTTCTCAGCTTTACTAACAAGTTGTGAAGAGAGAAGCCTGGCTTGGGGGAAGTGTAAGAGCATGTTTAACACACACACATATGCATGCACACACACACACACATACACACACTACACATAAAGACCCTCAGAGACTGTATTTAACCAGCTACCTGGCCATGTGCCACATCCAGCATTGGGCAACATACTAGAAAGTGAATTTGGGATATAGCAGTGGGAACCTTTGAGAAGTAAAAGAAACAGTAATTCTCAGAGTCTCAGTTCAAGCCCAGAATACAAGATCCCAAAGTATTTGCCACAAGGGGCCAGTTCCAGGTTCAAGTTTCTGCCTCTAGAACTCCCCTCTTTGAATTTTTACTTTTGACATCTACAGTGAAAGATGAGTCTGGGAAATAAAGTTTGAAATCTGTGCAGGAGAAAAAAATCTAAATCTAAAAAAAATCTAAAATCTCTTTTAGATTATTTGAAGTTGAGCTTAAAGAACGAGAAAGTGAGGAGGAGTACCATCCCTTTGCGTTTGTGTAGCACTTTACAGTGTGTGGTTCATTTTGGTTTGTAGTGTTATCACGTGTAAGCACTGGATGAGATGCCAGAGGCCTGTTTCTCACTCCTAGCTCTTCCTCAGACTCGCATCTTGGGCAAGCCCCTTCTGTCCCCTGGGTTTGAGTTCCCTCATCTGTAAAATGAGAGTTGGACCAGTTTTTACCAGGGCCCCTCAGACTCTGTCCTTCTGTCATCTGATACCAGTAAACAGGCAGTAAATGTTACTTGTCACTCTTCTCATATCTGTCTTCCTCAGCCTGTCCTATGTCGGGACTTGGGGGAGGCTTCACAAGGGGCTCCACAGGAGCCACCATCCCTTTCATGCTTATTGGCACCTGAGCCGGCAGAAAAGCACGTTTTCCTGGGAATTTGCTTGGCTTAGAAAGATTGTGGTTGTGAAGGGATCCATGTGCTGGGTTAGGCCAAATAGCAATCTAAGGACCATTCCACTTCCAGAATCCTGGAATTCCTAAAAGGCCACCCGTTAAGGTATCCGTGGAGAAACCCCTAAGCCAAATCATTGGACACTGTTTCAACACTTTGTATGGCGGTGCCTGTAGCATGTACCTTTGAGCCTGGAGTTTGATCTGCAGTACTGCTTTTAGGAGCCCTGCGTGCAGGAAGGACAGGTCTTGGGTTTGTTTGCTTTTCTTTTTTAACTGGTCTGGCCTCAGTCATTCTCTAGCATTTGCGATTATGGGCATTTTGAGCATTTTAACTCATAATGAACTTTGTTCTCTTGATATGCATTTTAGAAGACAAATCTGACCTTGAAAACAGTGTGATGCAGAAGAAAATAAAAATCCCCAAACTTTCTCTCAATCACGTAGAAGAAGATGGGGAGGTTAAAGATTATGGGGAAGAAGATTTACAGCTTAGACACATCAAGGTAACAAAATCTTTCCCCTCCTTTTGGAAGTATGTGGGGGCATTTTCAGATTCTTGTTCGCTAAAGAGTTCCAGTCTGGCCTCTTCTCCCCATATAAATGTCCTCTGGCGATTTTTTCAGATTGAGACAGCTAGTATGCGTGTGCCTTGCTGGCCACCATCCGCGAGCCCTGATTCAGGCTGTGCCACCATGCACCACCCCGTTTGCCCCATCTAAGCAGTGTCATCACTGCCGAGGGTTTGGAATGGTGCATCCCTCTCTGGCCTACAACTGTGAGCTCCAGAAACATAAAACAGCCGAACTTGGGCAGCAGTTCAGAGCTAGTCACTATCAGATTGCCCCAAACAGCAAAGGGGATAGATTGAATAGGAAGCAGAATATGCCAGGTTTACACAGAGGAGTTTGTTGGACCCTGGGTTGGAGGAAAATGTTTGCATGAGGTTGCATTTCCTTTGATACACTTCCCAGGTGGTCTTCTCCAGCCTTCACTTGTAAAGTGAATGACCTATTCAACATGCCATATGTTTTTCAGTACAATGGGTACTCCAGAGAAAGGGAGGAGAAAGAAGGCTGCCTTTCTCATTGACCATGGGCAGATATTGGACACAAGGTCAAGGGCATTCCCAAAGTATAGTCCAAGAGATGCAGCCGAGTTCAGTTCATAAATTCATTGCACCCATGCTATGGGCCTGGCTTTGTGCTGATCCCTGGGGTCATGGAGGTTAGGCAGACACGGTCACTGCCCTCGATGGTCTCATAGTGTAGTGATGCAGTTTTAGCAGATAAGTTCAGCTAAACCAGCAGCACCTTATCCTGATGGATAAAATGATGGGATAGGATTCTGTCATGTAACTCAATCTCAGAATCGTGTTGTTTTTGTTTTGTTTTTTTTTCATTAAATACCCAGAAACTTATCGAGAGGTTAAGGCAGGCTTGACCTGATGCAGTTAATTTGTCTGGAATCCTGTGTCCTCAGGTGTCTGCACCTCCCACAACTGCCCCAATCGGGAGAGCTCCTGGCCCTCCTGCCATGAGTAAAGAATTCAGTTAGTCCTGTAACTCCCATTCCCCCTCAATGGAAGCTTTGTCTACTTGAGCTGGAATTTCCTCAGGCAGCCGAAACCCCAGCCCCTAGATAGTCCTGGATAATATTCTTCTCAATGAACTATCCTCTGTATACCCACTGTCTTGCTGAGCTTCAGCTTGGCAGGAGCCCAGGGAGAGGCTGACAGATGTGGGGGAAGGGGCCTTGTGATGGAAGCTGGGCTCGAGGTTCTGGACCTGGCTCTGTCTGCATGTAGTCCTTAGCATGTAGTCTTAGCATGTAGTCCTCCTCTCTGAGCCTCAGTTTCCTCGCCTGGAAAGTGAGGGAGTTAAACTGAAAGGAACTTCCAGTGTTAGCATTCTTTGAACTTTTCAGTTATGTAAACATTTATCAAGCCGCTGCCAAGTGCCAGTTCTGAGTAGGCAGTGGAGACACAGAGAAAATAAGGCCTGGCTCCTGCCCTGGATTAGAACAGATTAGAGTTCTTAGCATCCTTCCCAACTAAAGTGTTCTTGACGAAAAGGTTACTGGTTTTTGTGTGTTGGTAGGGTTGGTATTTTGTTTTGTTTGTTTTTGGGGGTTGGGGTTTTTATTTTGTTTTTTTGTTTTGTTTTTTTGCCTTTTAAAGGTTTTTGTTCTTGAAGAGATTTGAGTGGTGACTCCCCTGGGGTGGTTTGGCCTGGCCTGATTTCTCACAGATTCTCCACCAATACACACTGAACACCCCCAGGGGGCGAGTCACTGCCTAGGCCCTGTGGCTGGGGTAGGGGTTGGGGAGTTGGGAAGGGTGGTCATGGTACAGTATGCACCCAGGAGACAGAGTGATGGAATGGAAAAAGCACTGGCCTGGGAAACCAGAGTCCCCAGTCTGCCACCAAACGACTGTGTGATCTTGGGCAAGACCCTTCCCCACTCTGAATCTGCCCCATTTGTAAAATGAAAGGCTTTGACTAAGTGTTTGCACAGGTTTCTCCAAGCACTCATGTTCTGTGGTTCTGTGATTCTAGGATTGTCTGGGGAAATATTGAGCTGCAGTCCAAGAAAGTCCCAGCTGCCCTTGCCTGAACTGATTCTCGTTGTCCTACACAGAGACCCGAGGGGCGGAAGCCCAGCGAAGTGGCGCATAAGAGAATTGAGGCAGTGGTGGCCCGGCTGGAGAAGCAGAACGGCCTGAGCCTGGGCCACAGCACATGTCCAGAGGAGGTCTTCGTGGAGGCTTCACCGGGCACAGAGGACATGGACAGTCTGGAGGACGCTGTCGTGCCCCGGGCTCTGTATGAGGAGCTGCTGCGCAACTACCAGCAGCAGCAGGAGGAGATGCGCCACCTCCAGCAGGAGCTGGAGCGGACTCGGAGGCAGCTGGTCCAGCAGGCCAAGAAGCTCAAGGAGTACGGGGCACTCGTGTCTGAAATGAAGGAGCTCCGTGACCTCAACCGGAGGCTCCAGGACGTGCTGCTCCTGAGGCTTGGCAGTGGTGAGTGCCCCAGCAGGCCACCGACCACTGCACGCGGGGGGATGCCTTGCTCAGCTCTTCAAGGAGGGCACGGGGGAGAGACGGAGGCTCGGGAAGGGCAGGGGCTTGGCTTGGCAGTCACCACAAGGTCAAGTCGCTCCCCTCCCGCAGTGAGTCTGATAGGAACTTTTGAGTGCAGCGGCCCTAGCTCCCCACAACAGAGTGGGGAACGCTGGCAAGCGTGGCACTGAGAACAGGGGCCGAAAGAGTATCTGCCACCTCTCATTCATGCATTCGTTTAGCGAGAGGTGATTCCTGGGGTTGCCAGAAATGCCTCCACAGTAGTTTCAGCACCGTGAAGAGAGCTAGACATGGCCCTAAGAAAGTGTATCACTTTAAGTCAGAAAGTGCTAAATGCCACAGCAGGGATATGGATAAAATGATAGAATTCAAAAGATGGAGAAGTTGTTTGTAACCGAGGGAGACTTTAGGAAGGAGGTGGGGTGGGCCTTGAAGCAGACCTTGAAGGGTGGGGGGATCTCAAAGCACAAGAGGAGGCAGAGGGCAGCAGCCATTGAGGACTGGAAAGTACCCTGAACATGCTAATGAGATACCACACATGTAGTTTGAGGACAGATGGTTGAAGACCTTGAAAACCATGCCAGCTTGGGGTGTCATACTTGTTTGGGAAGGAATGAGAAACGCTGAAAAGCTTTGAGGGTCTAGAGGCACATGACCTTGGAAGGATTGTTATAGAGATGTAGAAAACTCCTTTGGTTTGCTCGCAGAAGAACTGATGCTGCAAGTGATATTAATAAACTAAGTTTTTAAGTTTTCTCACCTAGTGTGGTTTAGAAGTAGGAATCGGGAGATTGAAAGGCAGCAGCCTTGATGGCAAGGAGAAATGACTGCCTAGTAGAGAGAACAAGATGGAAACACTCTCTCAAAAATAAGAATCCAGGATTATAAAAGCTAAAGGCCAGTCAGTATTGCAGAAACCAGTGAAGCACTGGTTCCTAACCTCCACATCCCCAGAGGACAATCAGTAACAACCCCATGCCAGTGTTTTTGTTGTTATTTTTTTTTAACCTAAAAATGGAAGTAATCTAGTCTACAAATATAAGTTCTATTCCCAAAGTTTAAATCAAATATAATTTTGTACTCAAGAAGGAAGATTTGTGTTATCTAGATAATAGATTTATATGTCAAGCCCCATCCATTTCTCTTTGATGTTTAGATAAATGTGCTCTTACCCTACCTCACTTAAATTTATAGATACCTTTTATATCTTCAAGTGTGTCCCCAAGGCAGCGTCTCAGTAGATCTTCAGAATGGCTTAGGGAGTCAGCCAAGAGGCTTTCAGTGTCGTTGTCACAGAGAAGGAAACTGAGGTTAGGACTTACCCAGAGTCGCTGGGGAGGCAGAGACAGAGCTCATGTCAGACCAAGTGCCCTGATTCCTGGGCTGTAATTTCCTTACTTCCCAATTCTGCCTTGGCCTTGGCCCTTCTTCCCAAGTTGTAGCCTGTGACACTAAAGGCCACATGGGGTGTACAACCTAAGGAGATATTCAAATTCTATATCAAAATAAAATCATAAAGAGAAGCCCTAACTGTAAAAATTTGTAAAAGCATTGTTGGTCTTGGAGTGGGGAAAGAACCGGAATTTTTAGAGAACAAAAGTGTTTCCTGGTCTTCAAATGAATAATCTGTGTTTTCATTGCACTCAACGTGATGCTCCTTTTGTAAACTTGTGGGGGAAAATGCACACTAACAACAGAAACTCTTTACACCGTTTTCAACTCCTAGAGAAACTGCCTGTTTTATATCATCATAAACCGAACTTAAACTCCACAAACCACTTCTAAGCCTCTGGGGGCAATAAGACCTACTATATCTTGCATCATTATGTTCCTCTTTAGTCTTAAAACACTTAGACAAACTTGACCTCAGCTACAGTTTCAATGTGTTGAACTTTCCAGGCTCTCCTACCCCATAGGCCTTAAATGCCATCATGAGGATCAGTGGCTGGCTCTTCCCTGATCAGAGTCACCATTGTCTCCATAGTAGATAGACTAAATATAAATCAGCACAAGCTACGAGTATGTGTGGAGCACCCACCGCCTGCAGTGCTCCGTGCTCTAGGGGCCATGGGCATCCTGGAGCACCACAGTGACAGCCCCTGACCTGGGAAAGCTTAAAGTCCATTGATTAGCACTTGTTAAATGGAGAATGATAATGGGCCAAGTTCTAAGACAAACCCACAAGAATATAATAGAAGGGTTTCTACCCTAAGGGGAGTTTGTATGTTTTCATGGACATCGTCTAGTCTTTGGAATCAGCCAGGCCTGGACTCAGATCCGGCTTCCCTACTTTCCAACTCTGGCTTCAGGAACCTTCTTTCCTTCTTCTCTTTCTGCCTTACTTCCTTTCCTCCTTCCCTCTTTTTCTTCCGTAATTATTCACTGGTCTCCTGCTGTGTACTGGGCATTTTGCCTAGTGGTAAGAATTTAATATAGTTAAGATATAGCCCTTGGCCTCTGCCCTTGAAGAGGTCAACGTTTGATGAAGGAGACAGCGACTGACACAAATATGACAGCACAGGGCATAAATGTCACCATAAGGACAAAAGCACCTGGGGCTATGGGACTATAGAAGAGGGGTACCCACAGAATTTGGGGGGATTGGGGAAGAAAGACTTCCTGAAGGAAATTACATCTAAGCAGGGGCCTGAAGGGTGAATTTTTATGATTCAGGTACAAGTGAGTGGGTGGGAAGAATGAGGAGCAATCTCTGCAGAGGGCACCTCTGTGAGCCTTGATGTTCTCATCTATAAATTGGAAATAATAACATCCCCCTCACAGCCTTGTGGAACAGGGCATAACACCTAGCATTCTGGTTGGTGCTCACTTACTGTCAGCTTCTTTTTCACACCATTTAGTGGAGGTGCTAAGGAAGGGCCCAATTTGGTTTTTAACTCTCTCTCCCACTCTATCTCCCCTAACTAGTAATTGGCTATATGACCTTGCATAGGTTAACTATCTTCTCTACCTGTCAGAATCTTCTGTTATAGAAGATAAAAGGTGATGTACGTGTGTGTGTGTGTGTGTGTGTGTGTGTATACACATATACATATACATATACAAATACATATAGATAATACACTTACACATATGTTTCCTTATTCATTCAGTCAGGCAGCTGACATTGACCTTATGGTTTCTGAGCATAGGGGCCTGGGGAGTACAAAGAAGACTAAGAGGTTGGAAGCTGGAATGTGGGTAGTGATAGAGGTAAACCTGTAAGCATGTAGTTTAAATGCAGTGTAATGAGTCCTGGGCAAGGGGCTAGCCTGGCCTTTGAAGGTGGAGCTCTCTTGGTGAGTCTGGGAAGCTAGCCTCTGCTGTAACAGCTCCTCATCTGTACATACCATCAGGAAACCAGTAACATGGCAGAAGAGCCAAAAAGTGACTAAAGCCTTCTTCCTTTCTTGGCTTCATGTGTTCTGTGAGAGCGACATCCTGAATTGTACCATCCTTGGCTCCCTGGGCCTGCCTCAAGCATTGTTCTTAGAGGCCTGTCCTTGCATATTTTCTCCTGTCCACTTTGCCTGGGGGCCCAACTCAACAACCTTTGTCCAGGTTGGGTGCTGAATTGTCTACACCGTAACAGGCAGATTCAGAGGCAAGAGGGGCCAACAGGTCAAGGATGCTCAGTTTTAAAACTCCCTGCCCAAAAGAATCATTGCTGACTCCCCCAGCTACTGGGGTTCTGCAGGTGGTAGATGGGAAGAGGCAGAGAGCAGGAGCCAGGCCCTTGAGCCTGATGGAGACCTCAGAGTGGTAAGTGGCCCTCTAGCAGCCGGGAGTTGTAATGGTGCACCTGGTGGAGGTCAGGGACAGAATGGTAGAGGACAGCAGCAACATAGTGTGAGATGTTTCAGAGACTGCCCTGGTGTCTCACTTTTTCATTCGTGCATTTATTAATTCTTCTTTTGTTTCTTCCACAAATACACAGAAGCTGGATCTAACAGGAAAGAGTCTCTAGTGCATGGAGTCCAAGAGTCCTAAGAGAGCTTATCTAGGAAATGGACTGGTCCCCTCGTGTCGCTGATGAGGAAATACTCTCAGAAAGCGTCACAGGCCTATTCCCAGGGGTCTCCTGACACCTGGTCCTGTGTGCCTGTCTCTGGGCCCTCACCTACATGGCCTTCTGTAGCCCTTGGACTCCGTTGTCATGGATATGGAGGTGACTCCTTGGCCCCAGCCCCCCACAAAGAACATCTTCTCTGTGAAACAAAACTTTCCTTTCTGTAATCTTAGCATAAGAAGTAGCCTTCTCTGCTCAGAAGGAACCCCACTGTCCTATCCTGAGGGCCTCTCCTCTCAGGGTGTCTGTGACAACATCAAAATTAAATGAGGAAGCAAGTGTAAAGAATAAAGGAGTGTGACCAGCTTATTATGTTTAATAAATGCCAGTCTCTTTGTCCTTCTCTGCCCTTTTCTCCCAACCCTCTCCCAAAGAAGTAAACGCTAAGGACACAGAAAGCATGCAGATAATTCCAGTTGATAAAATAGAGATTTATTTGTGCATTTATTCATTATTTTCATTCATTCAGCAATTATTTATTGAGGGCATGCTTTGTGCCAGGACTGCATTAGGTGCTAGGAATATAGAAACAAACCAAGATGGTCCTTTCTTAAAACATTCACAAGCTAGAGGGTTAGCTTAATGTTTATTAAACTGGAGCTTGGCAGACTCAGAATTCCGAGGGCTTGGGGAGAAGCACACAGGGAAAAAGTAATTGCCAGGGGAAGCTTTGGCATAGGAGAAAGAGTAAACTTTAAGGTCTCTCTTGGGTTCTCCTCAGCTACATTCCTTGTCCTTAGAGGTCAAAGACAAAAGCTTAGATATTGTCCTCAGTTTTAGCACCACAAGTGCCTCTCAGATAGTTGCATTCATTTTGGTCTGACTCGGGGAATGTTAGTCCAGCGAAAGCTGGAGAGGGCTCTGTGAGGAAAGA